CCAGTGCTCTTCAAAGGGATGGTCTGTGGGCAGAGGACACTGAAGTCCATCAGTGTGGTCTAGACCAGTGCTCTTCAAAGGGATGGTTTGTGGGCAGAGGACACTGAAGTAGATCAGTGTGGTCTAGACCAGTGCTTTTCAAAGTGATGGTTTGTGGACTGTTACCTATTCTGAAGGAGACAAGGAGCTTGCATCAACACACACCTCCTCACCAAAAGTCTAGCTTTATGGGGAGAAAAATCAGTTGAACCAAGCAACACACTTAATGATATCTGATTTACATTCTGGGGCACAGCTTTCAGAACAGTTCAGAGTTCAGAACCTTAGAGAACACTGGTCTACTACATCACACTTATCTTTCTACCTAGCCTATCAAATCCCAGGCTAGCACAAATTAATGTCTTACTTAACAAATATGTTCCGGAGTGCCGTATTATAACCACATACCAAGAACTTTTACCTTCTCCTCTTCACCTCACTTTTATCCCCAAAAAAGAGGGTAAGGAGGAGAAGGGAAAAAAAAAAAAAAATCAAGTAACGGAGTAATTACTTTAAAAAAATACTGATGTACAGATGTAGATGGCAAATCTTATTAAAAAGAAAAAGAATATCTAAAATTAAGAACTAAACTTAGGCTTTCAAGTTTTCTAAATCAGTCTTGAAATGGTTGTCATCACACACTCTGAAAAAGCAGATTTCCAACAGTTCAGGACCCCTTGGGGGACCCTTAGATCCTTCTAGGGGGTTCAAAAGATATAAACAAAGTTCACAATACTAAGACAATCTTGCCTTTTTCATTCTCATTATATTGCAACAACACAGTGGCGTTTTCCCAGAGGCTACAGGATATCTGATATCACAACTGACTGAATGCAGAAACAAGCATGAAAATCCAGGGGTCTTCTATTAAGCCAAGCCTTAAGGAGGTGAGTAATGTCTAATATTTGTTGTAGAAAATAGTTGTTTTCATGAAAATGTTACATATATTAACATGCAGTGAGTTTATGATTGGTATTTTTAAGTGAAATAAGTATGTTTTTCCATTTGTTTTTAATTTTTATATGGTAAAAATTGATGACACAGACCATGTAAACAAAAGCTCTCAATTTTCATGAGTGTAGGAAGATCTTGAGACCGAAAAGTTTGAGAATGGCTGCTCTAAAAGAACAGCACTGAACAGTTCCTGTGACACCCACGTGGCCTCTCCTTAGATTCACTGCTTTTCTCCTCTTACAAAAGTACATCCTTGTCCACTCTTTCCCCTAAATAGAACCACAGTGCTTCTTCTCTAAATTAATCTCTGGTAATTAAACAGCTAATTTTGCAATTAACTTAAGAATTATTATTAAAGAGTAAGTAGTTCACTGAACATAGTATCAAAGATGGTTATTTCCTGAGTGAGGCTGAACAGGACAGGTCAAGACACCGACCTTTTCAAGGCTGACAAGGGTAACATTATAAATCTAAATTGTGGGCATTTAAGGGGAAAAAAAGGGTGACAATCAGCAACTGACTCATTTAAAGCAAAATAAACAAAAGTATACTAGACAATGCCTCATTTTGTGAGCGTATTTTGGCAATATAATTTATTCTCCGCTCAGATTTTAGCTTACACTCTTCTTTACCATTACTTCCCTTCCACTACAATCATACAACAAAAAGCCGTATAAATGATTTTCGGCAAGCTCAGGAATTTTTTCAGTTCAAAAGACTAAACTGATAGAGTTTCTGTAACAAAGCATTTGATGGAGTTCTAAGAAGTTTTCTGATAAATTTCTATTCATTAATTATTTACTAAATGGAACACTTTCAAGTGAGATTGGTTATAGGCAGTAAATCTCATAAGACTCAGAGGATACTTGGTTGATAATGAGAAGAACTTGAATGTGAATGCAAAGTTGTACCGGACTAAATTTAAAGAGCCTCCTAGCAAATCAAAAGTAACAACACCATACTTAGAAGGGAAGACTCCTGTTACATAGTATCTTTAAATAGGAAAAAACAATTTTTCTCTAAAGAAAGAACTTCAGAGCCCCTTTTAAAAACTCATAAACATGAATAACTAAACTCTACTTGATGTCTGTAAGTCTTATAATGATTTAGATTAGAAAGGAGGCATTCAACAAGCTTTTTTATAGTCACTGTGAGTCACACTCTGTGTCAAACACATCACAATAAATGCTAGTCATTAGACCGTGAAGAATTATATATTAATAGCTAAATCTAATACTGAAAAAATAATTTCAATTCAATTTTCAGTATTAACTTGATTAAAAACTACCCACAAAATCAAACGTCTGTGTAGGTAACTCTAAATAATGTTACTGATTTTCAAAAACATTTAAACTGGAAAGCCTCAAGGGTAAATAACACCATTTTTTTTTAAAAAAAAAAAAGCAATTCCATATTTTAACCTACCTCATCCTGACATGTAACCCAGGTTACCATCTAATATTCGTAGTTCATTTATTCTTTCATTATGAAAATACTAGATGAAAGGTAATTTCATATGTCGTACTAATCGCTTACAAACTTCCATTAGAAATGATTTTAAAACATAAAAGGAAAATGCCAGTTGACAAGTAACCTTCAGAAATATTCAAATGGCACCTCTCAGGTAAGACTAAGTTTGTAAGAGGTGTATGTGTCACGCCTACTGGATATGTGATACCGAAAAAGACTCTACGTAGAGGCACTACAGGACCCCTCTCTGGAGATTTCCACTCTACGTACGCATGTTGCCTCTGAAAACTCAGAGCACTCTGGTTAACAGTTTTCAGTTTCTACTCACATAATCAAAGTCCCTGATATTCTTAAAATTTGGGACTTTCAAGTTTATCTGATGCCCACTATTTATTATTTATTCCTTCTGATTTCACTAGGTTAATTTATTTCTTGAAAATCCAAATAAACAGAATCTGTTTTCTCCAAATAAGGTTTTTTCTTTTTTTTAACACAACATCTATATGGGCTGCCAGTGTGCCAACAGAAGGCAAATACGAAATATGAACCGTCAGTGACAAACACGGAAAAACAGTGATCACTAACAAATGGAACTCTAGACTAGTGTCACCTTGTAAATTATCGGGCCATTTTCCACCCAAAAAAATTCATTTTAAAATCCTCTATGTTCTGAGTATATATCTTATTGAAAATAACTCATCATGGCACCTGTGGAGGTTTATCAAGATGTAGTTCAAGCTCCAAATCCAACCTCCTATTACTGTTCTGTGATGCTAGGGTCGGGACGATGCTAATTACAATCCTGTTTGCTTCTGCAAGGGAAAGGCCAAGAGGAAGGCTGCCGGGCAGGATGTTCACCTGCCGCTTCTGTTACTGTCACACCGTCAACGGCCCCTTGGCCCCGCAGCCACGGCTGGTTCCGGTTCCCAGCTTTCCCCTAAGCCCTGGTACCAGGACCAGCTTCATCCTGCTCCTCAGAGGCTCCTCCTCAAAGCTCCTATGTTCTGAAAACCTCTCACTGTTCCCCAGCCCTGAGAGGTGACTGCTCTTTATGTGCTGTCACCTCATGTTCCTTTTGTATGTTTCTTTTTGCTTTTTTTCAATCCTCAATACCTCCAAGGTCTGCTTAACCATTCCCCTATATTAAATTCTGGGTTAAAATAACTAGTAGGATTTGTGCTTTCCCAAACTCTGATACGATATTTAAAGCTGTTCAAAACCTATTTGATTCAAATATTATCATTAATGTCCCAATTTCTATGGAAATGTACTATCCACACTGCTTCAACAAACCCTGAAAGTCTTTCAGTGCTGATCAAGGTATGATGATCCCTCAAATATCCAAGGCAAAAATCTGTTGGCGTCGACCTACACTTCCACACTGCTGAGATGATTTTTTTTTAAACTCAAGTCAGATATTACATTCCTGATTATATCCTTCAACAGCTCTCTACTACCTTCATTTAACATTCATAGTCCTTACCAACATATAAAATCCCTTAGGACTTGTCCCCCACCTGTCTCTACAACCTTAGCGCCTGTCATTCCTCCATATTATCGACACCCTTCAAGTCCTGCCAACATGCTGTGCTGTATCACATTTCTGTCTTTGTAAGTGCTGTTCGCTCTATATGCTACAAATTCCCGGTCTCTTTAGCCAAGCTGTACACAATCTGTTGGGAAGCATTACTTATACCTCCATACCTTTTCACCTGTGCTGAGACTTCCCCTCTTGAGTGTTCCCAAAGCAACATGCACTGTTAATATGCACTGTTTTAACTGCTAACTTTTCTGTCCCCAATACAGCCCAAAACTCCTTTAAAAGGGGCCGTATTTTTAAAATTCTATGTATCTACAACCTACTATATACATGGTGTATAAATGGAAACTTTTGAACTTTTTGCTGAAATGATACATTTTAGAAAGCTCATTTGAACCTGTGACTATAAAAACCTCAAACTGAGTAACAGTTACTTTGTTAAACTAAACTTTTGAAAACATTTGAAATTCCTCGCTGGGTTTCTTGCCCTTCAGGATAGGGACATTTCTATCCCTCCTGGCTAGCAGAGCATACCGTACTCAGTAGGTACTCGATAACTATATGCTCTAAGAAATTTGTATTTTATGGACAGATGGCAAAGCTCAGGTTTCACCACTTTAAGTAAAACTACGGAAGTTTCACAGTTTCAAGCTTTTTATAGCGCAGATACAGCAAAGCTAAAACTCTGCCCTATAAAGGGAACAGTGAAGAAATAACCAAAACAATTATCTTCTGACTATCCTCAGTTGGACTAAAATAAGGTTGGTTCACTAGTGAGAAACAGGTAAGCTATGATATCAAATGAAAACATCAAGTAGGATCAGCTTTAAAACAATAAAAGAAGACATTATTTAACAAGATTTAACTGTGGGACTTTTTTGCAACAGATTCCAAAAAATAAAATTGGGCATGTTTATAGTACTTACTGCATCTGAAGTTTTGCTTGGATTATTGCTTGGATTAGAAGAATGTGAATTTGAACTATGAAGAGCACTGTGGTTGTGTGAATTTTCTTGTGGAGAATAACTGGTCCCTTAAAAAAAAAAAAAGTAAAACTTAGAGTTCACATTTAATTTAAACTGGCTTCTATCGTACTATATACAGATCATCTGTATATCTCTATGTCCTCATTTTATGTACAGCATCAGGAATACAAACATATTCATATTGTTTTTATAACAAAGTATGTGAGCCTACTGAAGACATGGCTTAAAGAACATATACACACACTACACTACCAGGGCTGACAGCCTGCAGAGCAGCAGGCCTTATAATTAGATGAGCAAAACCTCATCTATTACCACTGCTGGCAACTTCAAGTTTTTGTTTTTTTAAATAAAAGTTTTATTGGGAAAAAATATAACCACCATGTATACTGAGAAAAAAGGCACAAAAATTCAACTAATACAGAATCAAAAGTCACAATTATCCAATGTTTTTGCAATAACTTTTCAGTTTCTTAAATATTTCTCTTCACATTTTTAATAGTCTTGCCAATTTTTCAGCTGACACTGCATCAGGTTTGCACAAAGCTCGGTCTCAGGAAGCTTCTACACTCAAGACGGCGCAGACGACACGAGGGGTCCCCTCCTAACGTCAGGGACCACTCTACCCACAACCGCTGGAGACTGACTGCAGTCTGCTGAGCAACTCCCACAACTCACAGCCCACCAGCGAAGGCAGCTTTTACCGTCTGAAGAAAAGCCATGGTATAAAAATCCAGACTTGCAAAAACACTCTGATTAACGATACAAAAAGGTTCACTGCAAGATGCTGATTCTAGGATTTCAATTTCGTTCCACATATTTAAGGGTTTTTCAGCAACAAAGTGACATAATTCAAATGGTATCTTATAAACACTGATCTCTCAACGGAATACAGGCTGCACTATAAAGAACAAAAACTCCAAGTGCGGAGCACTGAAATGAGTCAGTGGTCTGAGATTGAAGTAGCAGTCAAAGTGGTTGAAAGTAGAAACAAAAAGAATTAACTATTTCAATCAACAGGAAAAACTAAATGGATAAGAAGGGAGGTGAAATGGAATAGGTGGAGGACTGTAAGGTCTTAGATATCCAAGTGGAAGTCGTCAGCAGATCTATGTACAACTAAGAATTCAGAAGAAAGTGAAGAGTAGATGTGGATCTGGAAGTCTTTCCCATTAGAGGTGAAAGGTAGAAGACTCTCCAACTCTACCTTGTATATAATAAACAAGCCCTAACAGTTCAGGAATGAAGTAAGAGTATGTTGAGAAAAAAAAGGCAATGACCACGATTTAACATCAGACAGGACGCACTTATAAGGGAAGCCAGAAGCAGATTCACTGAAGACCCAAGAAAGCTGGTGACGTCACAGGAGAGAGGGTCACTAGCACCCAGCACAGGAGTTGACGCGGAACCGACAAGAACATTTCACAAGAAGGCTGCTGCTGGACACGCGTGGTGCTTTCCTCATCTGCTTGTCTCTGTTCTGCTGTATGTACACTGGGTAATAAACAAATTCTTCAATAAACGTTTTAAGAATGAATACATCAGTCAAGAATACGCTCAGTGTGAAGAGTCTGATACGGAAGGTCCGAGAACACTATCCTTAGAAAGGCCTGCTAAAATCTTAGATGTATGCCGAAATGTCCATTTTCCAGCTTTAACTCATAATTCTTTAAAAAAAATCAGATTCACAGCTCAGTACAAATTAAAAACTAGTAATATAATAAAAGACTACTAGAATACCATGTTTATACACCACCCCATGCCCCCAGGTCAATTCCGACTCCTAGCGACCCTACAGGACAGAGCAGAACTGTCCCCATAGGGTTTCCAAGGCTATAAATCATTATGGAAGCAGACTGCCACATCTTTTTCCCTCGGAGCGGCTGGGGGTTCCAACCCCAACCTTTCTGTTAGTAGCAGAGTGCCTTAACCACTGTGCGGCCAGGGTTCCTTGTTTACATATTAAATAGGTAAGATCTCCACGGAAACTTCCATTAAAGTGTTGACGACAGGGGGAAGGCCAATCTCAGTGAAATGAAGCCCACGTTAGACGCCCTGTTCTGTTAGCTGCATACACTAAGCAAGTTGGTCTATACTTAAACCTTCTCATCTACGAAATAAAAGTGCCTCCTTTTACAGGCTTGTTAGAAGAAGTGATAGGCAAAAGTACTCCATGAACATAAGGTATACTACAGATAAGGACTACTGATCTCTCCTTAGGATCCAGAATTCATTCCACTTTGTTATGCCTGTAATCAATGAAAATTCAAAGACTGATGAGCACCCCAATTAACGAAGCTCTTAACGCTAAATAAACGGCATCTCTTCAATCAGCCTAAGAGCAGTTACTAGTCCGTAGGTCTCCTCTAGGGTTTCCACAGGGTACGACACACTAATCAAGGAACACAAGCAACAAGGCGCACGGGCCTAAGGCTTTCGCATCAACAGAAAACAGAACCAGCTGTTACGAAGGAGCTCATTTTTCAGAGGACTGTTTCTGCATAGGACTAGATTCCATATTCTATGGAACAGGTTTCTCTGAACCACTTAGCAAATATGAACTTATTAAAAAAAAGAAGGCAAGTTTCAGATTAAGAATAAACTGAGACTCGTCGACAGAATCCACATCCAAGCACAAGATGTGTCACAGAAAGCAGAGAAGTAGACCCTGCGAGTCCAGTCAGCAGAAGGCTGTCCTGTAAGAACTGAAGCCAAGGCAGATGTGCTCCTGCATCACATGACTTAAACAGCGGAACAAAGTTAACTCTCCAAAGATAAAAACCTCAACTTACACTACGGTTTAGAAAGCACTTTGTGTGAGTGGGTATCTCATTTGAGACTTGTAACCTCTTCAGTTTACTTTCTACACTGAAGTAACACGCAGTGTAGTGGGGTTATGATTTTTCCAAAGCCATACCTAAAAAAAGTGCTACAGCACAAAATTTCTTTGAAATCTCCCATTTTATCTTAAAAACTCACATGAATTTTGTATCCCACCCCACGATTAATCCGTGTGTTCATGTAAGAACACGAGATTTATTTTTCTCTTCATAGAAATGCAGAGTCTAAGGCTGAAAGAAAGAATAAGTGATCTGTGGCTGGCAACAAATCCACAGAGTAGAACCATATAGAAAACGTGAGTCCAGGATTTCAATGCTACATCTGGTGATCAAATGCACCAAGGAAGATCCTGTATGTGCCAGTGAGAGGATCTCGCGGACACTGTACGACCCAAAGCACTGGCGGCGGCGGCTGCTCATGTGGTCCAGTGCCCTTTCTGCTCTGTGTATTACCAAGGCTCACCACTGTCAAAGAAAAGAGACTTATCTCCCCAGGAAAAGCAGGAGTAGTGAATAAGTGGGATAAAGTTGGGTTTGAATGATACACATTTTAACACTAACTTTAAGGATTAAAGTTAGGACTGATAAATCAAGTCTTAAAGGCTTTTAAGAAAGGGATACTTGCAAGAATTACCTCGTTTGATGTGGGGGAGGGGGAGCAAAAGAGGTTATTATATGTTCACGCTTGCAACTCTAAGTACCTGAAGGAGAAGCAGGAGGAGTAAAGTTCTCCCCTCCAGTGCGTAACCAAAGACAAAGGAAACAGAGATGCAGTAACGTGACTGCATGCTGGTGTCAGACCATAGTCCACGCATCAGCAGACCACAACCTGCCAGGTCCATGTTTTTATTAAGTAAAGTTTTACGGGAACACCAAAAACCCACCGCTGTCGATTCTGACTCAGAGCAACCCGACAGGGTAGAGGAGAAATGCCCCGTAGGGTTCCCAAGGTACGGCTCGGGGATTTGAACTGTCGACCTTTTGGGTAGCAGCCCAACTGTGCTCAATCATTTAAGTTTTGTCTATAGCTACTTTCACTCTACCAGTTACCACAGAGACTGTATTGTCTGCAAGTCTAAAATATTATCTAGTCCTTTAAGAAGTTTGCTGACCCCTGGCTAGACAATGCTAATCAAAGATAAGTAGTTAATGTACTAGAACAGCGCAAGATGTTATTTCCCTGACAGAACTATCAACATTTAAAAGGCCTGAATAACGCCTACTTGGCATCCTCTAAAACTTCAGAAGCTAGATCTTATAGGAAAGAATGATATAACCTATATAGTCTGAGAAACACAGGGTCCCAGAAGAGTACTCCGGGAAATAGAACAAAACATGTAATAAAATACACCTGACTCAGCAAGAAATGGGCATTAGGCAATTAGATTGCCCTCTCATTAAAAAAAACGGGGGAGGGGGACTTGGATATTAGAGAGAAAGCAGGAGAAGTACACAAAATTCTATATAACCAAACAAGGCTGGGAAACTCAACTAGTCTTTTTAAAGGTAAAACAACAGTTTTTACTTTACTCAGGGTAAGATATTATGGCATTTGTGTCCTTATTCAGAAAATGATGACTACTCTAATTCACTACCAGGTCCTTATATTTAGAAGTCAAGTCTTCATGTCTTCTTCAAAGACCTTCAAGAAACAAGTATACCCATAATACTAAATGAAAGATTTCAAGAACTACCACCACCCTAAACCGCTTTTTAAATTAGCAGACAACAGGCAGAACGACCGAGTAAGGTTCAGCAATGATTCTCAAGCTTTAACGTATCTAAACATGTAGATTTCAAGACAGCATCTCACAGAGGTTCTGATGCCCGGTACGTGGAACGGCACCTCAAGACGGAGTTTTAACAAGCCGTCTTCAGATGGTTCCAGTGTGCTCCGCATCTGGGCAACCCTGTGACAAACTGGTTTACCAGGTGAGATGGCTGAGGACACTCAACAAATCCCCCGAAAATACGGCAATATGCTACGACAGACTGGTGACCGCGTCTTCTTTCTGCACAGACGATCGAGCTCTACAGTTCTCCTGAGTCCTTTTCAAGGATCTTCGCCCTCTGTCACTCTTTGAATACTGTGTCGCCTCCCATTATCTTGTCCCTCCCCTCATCACTCTAAACCAGAGGTCACCCCTAAGCGTTTAAAACAACTCAACAAAAAGATAAACAACCCAATATAAAAATGGGCTAAGGAC